ACACACACACACACACACTCTCACACACACACACACACACACACACACACACACACATACACACAGCAAATCATGAAAGTATTTAGTTTTCATTTTATAACCTACAAATGAACACAGGATGGAAATCTGCTTCTGTAGGCAACATGAACCATCTCTCTCACATTATTCAGTCCGAATAAATACAATCTGATTTCAAGTTCCTAAATGTAACCCAGGTCACTAAAAAGTTCAAATAGAAGCTTGGAAAAATTGTATGCTTCATATGTAGAATAGAAAGAATATCCTCAACTCTACTCAAAATGGTACACCAATAATAAGAGAGATTGATAAAAAAAATTATTTTATTTTATCCAAATTGAAACAGCTCCAGTGGTTGAGATTGTCATTGAAGAATTGTCCTTGCCTGTTGCTGTGTGCACGTTGCTTGGACTGGCGAGCCATTCCCATCTGATCCGTACCTGGTGACATTATTTCAAGAGTGTGAAATATTTATTGGTAGGACAAACCATTTTTTTCCCTTAATCACTTCCGGTTTTTTTCTTCTTACTGGACTGAACAATTATTATTTTTTTCCCCTTCATTACGGACCCGCTGGATTGAGAAACTGATTTTTCATGGACTAAAGGCACTATTCAATTTTTTTCACGTGACCCCTCTTCATTATTTTTTTCTTTTCCTTGAGTTTGAACTGAGACATTGTCTTTATTTCTCATTTGATATTCCAACTGAACGAGACACATACTGTTGTTTATGTGGTGTTTCTGTTTTTTTCCCCGTTTCATTTGAAGAGTTACTAAGAAAAAAATCTAAAAGTGGTACAAAAATACATAGTTTCTATGGTAAATACTTACCTTTGAGTGGTTATTCCCTTCTTGCTCTTGTTGTGTATTTCTTTTCTCCAGAGAGTCGCGCTTAGTCTTCTGTGACTGATCCAAAATTAATTTAAATTGTGTCTTAAATCTGACATTTTATAAGTGTGTGTTGCAGAATTAGAACCGGTGACATTGGTTACATAAAGCTCTGTTTATATGAACCCTAACATTCACAGTTTGTTTCACAAATTTGTTCACACGTCCATTTAGGGTACATTTACCCAACAATAATGTACTAAAAACATTTTCTGTACAGAGGACGAGGTTGTCAAAATTATCCCTTTTAACACAGATCCGTAAAAACAACTAACCGGAGCTGATCGCGGCCACTTCAGTCAAGTCAAGTCAAGTCACCTTTATTTATATAGCGCTTTTAACAATATAGATTGTGTCAAAGCAACTGAACAGCATTAATTAGGAAAACAGTGTGTCAATAATGCAAAATGACAATAGTAAACA